AAATAGCAGTATTACTGAAATGCAATCAAAATGTTTGTGATTATACTCAATTTTCTTGATGATATTAATATTATGATCAAAAATGTGTACACTTTTGATGCCAACTCTTTACTCACTAATGTGCCTTTGCTTAAAACAGTTGACATTTGGTGTGATTACATTTCCAAACATAACTTTTTCATCCTGTTCCCTATATCTTATCGAAGGGGTTTATTACTTCTATGTGCTAACAATGTTTGGTTTACATTTGAAGGCGATTGTTTCCGCCAAGTTGATGGTGTTGCTATAGGAAGTCCGTTAGGGCCCCTTTTAGCAGATGTCTATATATCATACATTGAGAGTTTATCGAAGGATTTAATCGGAAATGTGCCACTTTATAGAAGGTATGTAGATGACATTTTAATCATCAGTGATAAGCCTTGTTCTGTGACCCCAATTTTACACCGAATGAATGAAGTTCACAATAGCATATCACTTACGTCTGTAGAAGAGGGAGATAATTGTTTATCTTTCGTAGACATATTGCTTAGTCAACGGCATGATGGGTCAATAAAAAGATCTATTTATTGAAAACCTACCTGGATAGGACAGTACCTCAATTACCACAGTTTCTGACCTGTTCGGTACAAAAGAGCCTTAGTCGGTGAGGTGCCTCTTCAGGAGAATCCAACGAATATGCACTGAAGACACACTTGATGAAGAAGAAAGAAAGTTGACACAAACTCTGGTTGATAACAATTATCCAGACAAGTCCATCAGGAGATATAAAGCAGTCAGGACACCAAGACCCACTCTACAAATCACCCCTAAGAAAGCCGTGTACATTATCGTACTCTATATGGGGCATCAAAGTAGCTTGATAACTACACAAAGATTGAACGCTGCAGTTAAAAAGACCTTTTATGCAGCTAATGTCACAATGATTGAGAAGGTGAAGCCAATATATCCATCGAAGCCCTTTGAACATGAGAAAAATGACGTCACATTCCACTGTATTTACCATTTTGAATGTACGTGTGGACACACATACATAGGGAGGACTAATCGATCTCTGCAAGTAAGGACTGGCTTCAGAGCATATTCCTAAATGGCTCCAGAAACAAATGGAATCTTCAGAACCCATTAATGCTGAGAACAGGAGACCTAGCTCCTCTATTGCGAAACATATCATAGAGACAGGACATAAAATTGACGTTAACAGATCTTTTAAACCTATCTATAAAACGTGTTTGGGGCGTATCCTAAAGTTTGTGGAAGCCCTAGCTGGCAATTAGGAAGTTTAAACCACCTTTATGCGTTCAAAGCAACAATTCGTCATCACACTAAACCTTCCTTGGTGAATTTTGTTTTGATACCATAGCAGATGTACTATTACTTCTGTTATGTGGTTTAGTGGTCTTCATTGTTATTTTGACCTTCAATATGGCGTCCTTTTAACTTGACCTAAATTTCTCACCTCTTAACTTTTTATTACTTTCATATATGTTCCTATGACAAGTCCGTGTGTGATCAGATTGTTCGAAATGTGTTGTGCGCGTAAATACATTACACGATTCAGACAAATTACGTCGTCTTATTGCTTTGTATAAATTATACTCATTGTTAGATATCAAGTATCAAAACAAATAATGCCATATATATAGGATAAATATAAATTCAGTCGCTTCTGTGGAGCGAAAAAGATAAACTAAATCAGTAGGGTATTCTCTAGACTTGTACAAGAACACCTCTCAGACGAATTAATAGCTCAATTCTTGAACGCCTTGTTCTGACGCATCATTCCGCATCAATAAAGAAATCTTTCAAAGTTATATATATATATATATATATATATAAGCTAAGGACAAGTCGTCCTAAGAGTTCCCAATGTCATCTGTCCACAAAGGAATCACTTGTTGTGCACATAGAAATGGTTTGTCCTATCGCTTTTACTACCAATGAGTTAAACTATCTTTTTTCAAACTTCAGCACTAATTCAGTATGTAGTCAATATTCACTCGTTCTTGTGGTCTCTTTCTTTCCGAACTCCTAACTTTTAAACATATTTTCTGATGCTCGCTAGTGACTTGCTACAGGTTGGAGCTTCCTGGAGTTCTAGTGAGAAGTCGTGACTAGTGAGGTCCAATTAGATGTCACGTGTGTGGATGGATGTCCCACCAACGACAATGGTTGGGGTCGCGTTAAAATCACGAATTGGTAGAAGTTAGAATTCATGAGCCATTGAGTCGGGTCCCAGTGGCTGAATGGTATGCGAGCTTGCCTTGTAACCGGAAGATCCTGGGTTCGAATCCCAGTGGGTGCGTACTGCCGATGATTCCCAAACTAGGATGAAACAGCAGCTGTCCAGTACTTCCTGGTTTCCAATGGTTCTCTAACTGATATCAGTCCATGATCAACTCGTTTAAACATATTCTCAAACTCTTGCTCATTATGAACAATATTCCTGTCCCCAGGAGTTTAAAATTTTAGTGGTAATCATTGCTGAACGCGATTTATTGCTAAGTGTTCTCAGGTCACACAAGACCACTTAGCCAAGTCACGTAATTTATTCATTATTATTCGTGATATGTAGTTCCATATGTTTGTTACCAATTTAATACTAACAACTGGTCTTTATGGGCACTTCTATGCGCTTTGAGCATACTACTATATGTAACTGTAAAACTCCGAAGTTCAGTCAAGAAAACAAAATTCTTTACTGTCTCTTTTTTTGATGACAACTAAACTCTTGTTCCATAGTACTTATATTGTTGCTTAGGTTCTAGCATTCAAGTTTACTAATGTGTAGTCATCCAACTAGGGGGGGGACTCTGCATTGTAATCAACCCTGTTTGACGTTGGATGTGTAGTCGACAGGAAGCCCTCGTGGTCATCACTGGCGCCTATCATTCAGTATAGTGGATTTATCTCTAGAGACTCAAACTCACAAAAGTGAGAGGCATTACCACTGAAATATAATGCGACCGAGATAGACCTCCAGTCTCGAGTAACCAAATTCTAACTAACAACATTACAAACTACGAAATTTCAAGATCGCTGAATCAGTGTACTGAATGCTTCAACTACCACAAGCGCGAATTAGATATCCTTAAAGACGCCTTGCATCAGACTGGAAAGTTTTTCCAACCGATCTATTACCACCAAACAGTCTAAGAATACGAACAATTAAGAGTGCTTAGAATAATAAAGGCTTTTGTATTTAGAACAAAATAGTTAAGGCGAACAATTGGTTTCAATAAATTCTTCTTCAGGCTCTACAATTATAAATCTATTAATTTAAGCATACAATAGCCAGTAAAGGCAAATTAGAATCATATCAGAAAGTGTATTGTGGAACAAGTATTTTTGTATTTCCCAATGAATGAAAAACAAAACGATATTGTTGTTTTTACTGACGTTTCGCTGTTTAATGCTGCTGCTAATAGCTTTATCAAAATAGTAATGCTAAACCAGAATTTACAAAATCCACTCAACTTATATATAACAACTTAATCATCGTTCTTCAGCATTGGGCAATTTTTGCGTTGTCAAATTGGCCAACTGGTAGAGACAACAAAACCAGGTGTAGATCGCTGGATTTGATAAATGTATAAGATCATAAAAGCAGCATGTGTTTACATAATGAAATTGCTTATCACATTGGTGTTAATTTGGTCACTTCATGGGGGAGCGGGTGTTGTAACCAGGTCAAATTCTGTTTTAGTCCGTCATTCCTATTCAGACAATTTCGGTTCCATTTGTTATGAAGTGCTTCTGATATTAGAGGTTCTTTGTATTTTCTGAATTTTTTCTGGATGATGATTTCAATATTGTCAAAATCAATTTTGTGGTTTGATTCTATAGCGTAGCGTGTATATCAACCTATGGCTGATGTTTTTTCAAGCTTTTCTAGTTCACTAAATGGATTTCTCGGTGTTCGAGCAGATGCTCTACGGTGTTCACTTTTTCTGATTTTGATTTCTTGCGATGTTTTTCCGATATATATATCCCATCACATTCCAAGCATTTTATTTTATAGACACAATTAGATAGAGAATCTTTAAAGATTTCGTCTCTTATATGGACAAGGCTGCTTCGCAGTGTGTCTGATGTTTTGAGGAAAACTCTGATGTCGAGCTGATTGAGTACTCTTCTTATATCGTCTGATGTCTCTGCTCTATATGGAATGACGACTGTTGCGGTCCATGTTTTCGGAATACGTTTTCGACCATATTTAATGTCCGTGTTGATTTTGTTGATGAAGTTCTTTGGGTGGTTATTTTGCTTGAGAGTCTCAGTAATGTTTGATATTTCTTCTTCTTTTTCTTTCTCACCCATTATCAAAGAGTATGCTCGTCTAAGAAGACTTGAAACAACTGAAATCTTTGTGCTGATGAGGTGTGATGATTTGAAGTCTAGATATTTGTTGGAGTGGGTTTTCTTCCTGAATATGGATATATTATAGTGTCCGTTTTCCATCCTCTTAACTAGACAGTCTAGAAATGGTAGTTCACCGACGTCTGATTCTCCTTCTGAAGTAAACTGGATGGCGGGAGATAGACAGTTCAGTTTCTCCAAGAATGAACTGTGTAGATCTCGTTTTAGTACTACAAAAGTATCATCTACATATCTTAACCATATTTTAGGAGTGAGTATGCTTGAGAAAATGTTCATGCAAAGATCAGCGACTATTGGGGAAACTGGTGAACCCCAAGCAACACCATTTGTCTGTCTATATAAATTCCCTTAAAATGTAAGATAATTACCTTCTAGACAGAATTTTAAGCATTTAATTATTTCACTGATGTCCAGTGGACATCTTTGTGATAGTGTTGTATCAGATTCTAGTTTAACTGAAAATTATATCAAGACTTTCGGTAATATTATTATTATTATTATTTAAAAACGGGATTAGGTAAACCCCGAAACCGCTTCTTTTCAACTCCACAATAAGAGAGCGATGAAGAAATATCCACACTTTTCTGTACATTATTATTATTATTACTATTAACTGGATCAAAAAAAATATGTACAAGTATTAAGAATAAACTAAAAAGGAAATAGCAATGTACAAGATAACATTCTGCGAGATACTGTAGACTGTCAATGATAACGTGGATAAGTAGCTCCTGGATGACCTAGGTGATTTGATGGAATGTTTCTCATCGGTTGCTGTTGCTGCTGTTGTTGCTGCTGCTGTTGCTGTTGCTGAAATACAAAAGTGTAGAAAGCGCGTACACACTAAGTCAGAAGAGGTAAGTGGCTTGAATATAATTCAGCAGCAAACTAATGCACATAAAATTGACGATTTTACTCAGTTAATGTTGACTGGCAGTAGAAACTAGGATACCCATTTTACCCCCAGACACACACACACGAAATCTCAGCACGAATACAGAGGGCTAGTTTCGAATATGCCAGTTTATGCCGTCTCTGGCGTAGACGCGATATCCGACTATCGACCAAAGAGCGTGTGTACTGCTCAACAGTCCGCTCCGTCCTCCATTATGGCTGTGAGACCTGGCCATTGAGAGCAGAAGACATGAAAAGATTAGCTGACTTCGATCATAGGTGTCTGCGTTCTATCTCCCATATGATGTGGTATAAAAAGGTGAGCAATATTGAGGTTAGGCATCGAGTGCTAGGTAAGGAGGGGAAATCAGTCGACGAGACTGTGAAATTACATCGACTGAGATGGTTAGGACATGTGCTACGTATGCCTAGTCATCGCCTTCCTCGACAATGGGCAATGTTAGCTGATATAGGACCAGGTTGGAAAAGAGCTAGCGGCGGTCAAACGAAAACATGGCACCAGTCAATGAAATCCACAACAGTTAGTCTAGGCCACGTAGGAAGGTGCAAACTTCCTGGTTGGGGTCCTCGGGACGGTAAAAACCAATGGTTGGAAACAATTGGTAACATGGCTCAAAATCGTTCTCAATGGCTAGCGCAGATGCATCCACTCCTTGTGACTTATGATTTCCAATTAAACTGTTTTGTTCTTCGTTATTACTATTCCTTTGTCTCACACCTCTGTTTACTGTCTCTAATATGCATTTCTCCTACTTTCTTCTCTTGCTTCGTGTACTACATGGAGTGTGGCGAATTGAACTGCCGCACATATGTGCAAAGTTCTATGTCGAAAACAGACAGACCCCCACACACACACTTGAAACTCGTCAGTTGTATTCCCACTGCGATCCATACCAAGTACCCACAATTAAACTTGAGGTACTGTACTCGAAGAAAACACGTTAACAGTTTACTAAGCATTTCCAGCCAATAAGATCAATCAAACGGAAATTCGAAAGTAATTTGGTGGTCGTTCCTACACGGAAATCCCACTATTCATTAAAATGCGACATATGGTAATCACTGAATGCCAACGTATATCTGTAATATATCCCACTGTTCAAATAGTAACTCAGTGGTTGAACGCCAAGCACCTACAGCGATGAGCCACACACTACCACATACTCCCGCCGGCATCCAAAAATATTTCACTTACAGGCGTTGAAGAGTGTCGACTACACTTTAATCTCCAGATGGTATCACGAAATTTTGTTGTTGTTCGAACTCAGTTATTCAGATCAGACGTCTTATGTCCCAGGCTATTATTATTATCACTTTTAAAAAACAGACTTGGTGAATTATGAACGCCAAGACCGAAGCAGGTGGTTGTCTTTAGAGACCATCTCCGAGCCTTTGACTTGAAGTCTAATCCACAAGGTAGTGAGTGAAGTGTGGGGCAGAGACAGGAGCCACCTTCCCATGGTTGACGGTGACCAAAACAGGTTCACACGCCATTCGATCCCTTCGGATTCATGGAGGTTTGGATTCATCCCCAACTCGTATCCTAGCCATCTCAAATCTATGCAACTACACAATCTCAACGACGGAATTAACCTCCTTACCTATTATTCTAAGCCTACCATAATATATCACTCAACGATTGAGTTAGGACGCAGACACCTATGATCAAAGGCAGCTAGCCCTTTCATATCTCCCAGTTACAATGGCCATATCACACAATCATAAAGAAGGGCAGAGCAAACTGCAGCGTAGTACGCACGCCCTCTGATCGATAGCCATAGATGACGTATGTTGAAAAAAGCCACACGAGCTTCTCGTATCCTCACTGAGAACCCAACAGCATGCAGTCTATAAAAATCTGGCGCAACCTCCCAACACGCTTAGCCATTTCGCTGCCTATCTTTACGCTAGGAATCTGTGCAGTCCAGTCCTGCAACATTATCTTACATTCGACGGCAGTGAATCTGAAGCCAAACATGCGAAGATTTCTGCTCAAGATATTTAGCATCTTCACAAAGAGGGATAATGTCATCTGCATACTCTATGTCAGGAAGACTGTTCCCTGGTAGCGAGTCAATCACCAAGCCCACTGAAGTGAGTTAGGGTCAATTCCATTAGTACACCTATGATGAAATTTAACAAAAATGGGGACAGTGGGCATATATCAGAAAGCGCTAATCAAACTCAACTAAGATCAACAGTAATCAAAGAACAAATAAAAATAATTTAGAAAAAACTGTCTACTTGATGTGGATAATTCGATCCAGCATTAGGCATATTATGTTGCTGAGATTGAGCTGTTTTATTTGTATTCAACAATCCACTGTTGTTGACTGCCGACGACGAGGAGGTTGCTGAAGAAGATGGTGCCGGTGGTGGTGCAATCGATGCATCGCTATTCCCTTGAGATAGTCGAATACGTTTACTGGACGACATGTCGTCATTCTGTTAAGACATGAAATAAAACAGAAACGGAAATTATTGACAACGTTCTTACACTTCGATTAGTTCAAATACAACAACAACAAAAACTAAACGAAACTAACGAACGAACAACAGACGAGAATGATGACAAAAACGATCAAAACAAACTGACACGTAAATTTCAAGTAACCTTAAGTGATGAGATATACTGACGAACAGGTAAAGTAGAATTGCGTATAACCTCCATTCTTCTATCGCATACGCTATATAAGTCACTACGAATGCCCTCTGCTACACAATAATTACTCATCTTCATAAAATTGCGTCTATCATTCTGTACTGCTGGAGGAGGACAGACAATCTCTGGACTGAGTTGATTACCACTTAGCGCTGCATACACATAGTTTTCTTCAGGTGCTTTTATATTTTCGCACATTCCACCTACAAACACAGATACGTTGTGGTATTGAGTAGACGACTTTTCAGCTGACTGTATATTCTCTTGCATAAATCGTGAAGATATCATCAATTCGTGCTTGTTGGTCACACGGCGAAAAGTTGTAGGCGTAGAATGAAAGCAAGTATTGTTGTTACCACCCCCAGGGTAGCAATTGTGATCCGAACAGCCTTGTGAATAATTCCAATTGTCTAATGATTCGTAATTACAATAGTGGTTATTATTATTACTATGATTATAGTCTTTATGATGACGCAGGATATTTGAAGGGAACATCATTTCACGTATAACATTTCGACGCGCAGTTTTTGGATATTCCATATTTACGTAATAGTAGTGATCACCATCACGGCAACACAAAGATTCACACCAATACATCTACGCAGAATTTATTAATAAATTAAATACAAAATATTGTTCAACGATATTTTCCGAAAGGGGAATCACGATACAATACTCAAATTGAGGTGGAAATAAAAAGGTTAGCTAAACACAGAGGTTTAAACACAGAGGTTGACCTCATTTTGACGAGGATGTGAATCCCTGCTCTGATTAAACAAACGAGTGAGGGGCTGTTCCACAATAATCCCATGTCAATTAGCTTATTGGATATATCACATAGACAGTGAAACAGTGTCCTTGTTAATTCCTCAGCAGTATTTCTTTTGTGTACAAACTTATACTACTTATTACTAGTAAGTAGTCTGAGTTTATATTTTCCAATGCCATAATCCCCTACTGTAATTTACTGTTGAAGTTTCTCTTCCTTAGTATGCATGAATACTCCGTTTGATATATAATAATTATTTGCTTATAGTTAAACATTATCTGCTGTACATACTTTATTTATACATCTTTGTCTGTTGAACACTGTTTATTCGAATGCCTTCATTCTTCATCTGGCATTCGTGCTCTGTTTAACCCTATGCCATAGTATCGTTATTTGTCACTGCATACAGGAGTATAGCTGCGCTATTTTACGGATCTTATCAGGGTCCATTAATGTAGATTCTTGTAGGTTATTGTGCACCACTAATCCAAATTGATTCCGTTCTACTACTTTGATCTATGCATTCGACAATTCAACCACTGAGACCCGATACAACAGTCCATGAATTCCAACTCCTGCCCATTTGCGATATTTAGCGCAACCACCAACGAATGTCACAGGCGAGTAATTGTCCTCTTGTTTGACTTTGTGGACCCCAACGGTTACCATCTCTTACTAGAAATCCAAGTAACTGCTTACATAGAGCTAGTCGCTATAGTGAGCATCAGAATAGTTATCAAGTCTTGGTTTGCAGGGATTTGATTGGTTACAAGCTGACATGAATACGAGAACCATTGGAAAGCCAGGAAGTACTGGACAACTGTTTCGTCCCAGTTCAAGACTCTTCATCAGTATGCACCCACCAAGGTTTGAACCCAGGACCTCCGGCTTACAAAGCGCGACCTCACGATCACTACAAGGTATTAGGTAAACTAAATTATTTTGTTTCACGAGATCTTCAGGACTCTTTAACCAACAGAATTTGCTTCTAAGTGGGTTTATGAACTTGAATGCCACTTTTCACTCGTGCTCAGAGGTTCTCCATTGCTGTGGAAGGGAATTTAAAACATCAGTAGTGCTTATGAAGAATAAATTGTGTTTGAGACGTCATCCGGTAAATACCACGGCAGCAACTCACCTTTCTATGTGAACCTACAAGTACGATGTGCCTGGTGAAAAAACTCAACTGGTGGAAAGATGTGATATGATGACAGATATCTGCCAACAAATACATTTCCCAGCTACGATCAGTATTTTAATCTCTTGGAGACTTTCAGAAATGTCAAATAACGGCGCTGAATCACCTACTCTCCACAGACTACGTTATTGTTTCACTGTTGGACTGTTGAAACAATCAATAGGCAACATTTTCCAACTTCCTTGGAATCACGACAGCATAGGACTATCACTCAGTGTTAGTCCAAACGCGTTTCTCTTTCTCACTTTTGATTTGGTCTAGATTTTCAGTATAAGACATTTGTGAATTAGCTAAACAGAAACACGCAACGAATTGAATCGTTGTTTATTATTGTCCAATTTCATCACGAGCTGATTTCAGTTAGAAAAACATTGAAAAACGGGGAGTACTAAACAGCCGTTTCGTCTTGGACACGGACTCTTCAATAGTACGCATATAGAACTTTCACTTCTAACCTCTGCAATATAGCATGACAACCAGCCAATGTTAACGATGAGTATATGTCCTCACGTCCATCTTGGTGGACCTTGATGGTCACGACCTCCTAGTAGAACTTCAAGCAACTTCATCCTCTAGTCCCAGTTTAACTAGTAAGCGCTAGATTAACTTTCAACTGTCGGTTTGCAGGTTTTCAATGGTTCTCCAACTAAGGTCATATAGACTAAGTCATAAAAACTAAGAAGGGGCATTCACACAAAAGAGTTACTCTTTTTTAGCGATATCATTCTCAAGCTGTACAATCAATTGCATATGTGTATATACTACATTTTTAAATCAACTAAAGGTATGTGTTCCAAAGAAGTGTCATTAAAATTGAAAGTTTCAGGTAACAATTATGAAATACACGGCCAACAGCTTCTGTATTATGTAATTGCTGCCTGACATCTTTGGAGACCGTCCTTCGGTTTGAATTTTTGAGATTTTCGTTACGAACCAACATCAGTTACAGAGATCATTGAAAAAATCAGACAGCACTCGACAGTCGTTTCGTCGTATTCTGGGACTCCTCAGAGGCGCACACTCACGACCCCGCTGGAGATCGAACTCACGATGTTGAGGCTGCGAGACAGACTAAACTAGTTAACTGTCCAGGCATTTGGGCTGGAGGAATCCAATAACCCCTGAATTCGAACTTTGTCAACTCATGATACAGTGCTGCGCTCACTAATGCTTTCGATGGGCATCTATTAGTTGATGTGACAATGTTCCATATACACATGCGATTGTACAGCTTAAATAAAAATGAAATTTTCTATCGATATCCAAAATTTTGCTAGAAAGTAATTAGCGCGTTTCACTCTCGCCTATAGGTAATCTTATATTATCATTACAAGCTTATCATAAAACACAGGTGATATGAACTCATTAATACTGACCTGTTGATGAGGTAATTGTCTTGTATGCGGATTAGGCTGACCACCACCACCACCACCGGTAGCATTCATGTGTTGTTGGTGTGTTGGTGGTGGTTGATTTCCACCACCTGCTCTTTGTTGTTGAGATTGTTGCTGATTTGGTGGTGGTGGTGGTGCTGCTGGTGGTGGTAATTGTGGTTGTGCACCACTGTTTCCCCGCTGTTGCTGCTGTTGTTGCTGTTGAGATTGCTGTTGGCTGTTGTTGGGATTGATGAGTATGAGTATGCATCCCCGTAGGATGTGCAGCAGTCTGTCGACTAGCACCACCACCACCACCACCAGCTCCAGCTGCAGTTTGTTGCTGCTGTTGTTGTTGTTGAGTAGGTTGTGTTACATTTTTATCTGCACCAGTTTGTTTTTCATCTGCATCATCATCGGAGATGAATTCACGTTTAGGATAAGGAATAGGCAGATTTCCAAAAACGCTACAAGAAAAAAAGGATAGAATTTAAGTAAAAATGGATATATGAGAACAACTAACGACGATGCCGATGTAGACAACAATGCATCAGTTACAAATCCAAGCAGAGTAAATATCTGATTGGTTACAGGATTTTCATGATGAGCTGATATTAGTTAGAGAACCATTGGAAAACCACCGGGGATTCGAACCCAGGACCTTCTGGCTAGGGGTCGCGCTATGTCGTGAATTGGCAGAAGTTAGAATTCATGGACTGGCCATTGGATCGGGTCCCAGTGGCTTAATGGTATACGAGCTAGCTCGTCTTGTAACCAGAAGGTCCTGGGTTCGAATCCCAGTGGATGCGCGTTGATGAAGAGTCCCAGACTAGGACGAAACAGCTGTCCAGTACTCCCAGGTTTTCCAATGGTTCTCTAACTAATGTCAGCTCATGATGAAAATCCTGTAACCAATCAAATCCCTACAAACCAACACTTAAATATCTGATTACTTTATTTCCCGCTGGAATAAATTTGCAGAAAGTCACACCTCTTTCACTTCACTTACCTGACTAGGGCTAGGGGGGGGCAGCATCTTTTTTTTCACTACAAGCGGCACCACAGATGAGTATGTCAAAGCCAACCAGAATGGGAAAAGAAAGACAGATCTCTTCATCATTTTGAAATCACTGTGGAAATCTACTGCCTTCAGGATAATAATGAAGATTCGCATATTCAAGGCTTATGTCGAATCACTGCTTCCAGACGGTTCAGTTACTTGGCGCAAGCGTCAAGGAAAGCATTTCAAACAGCCTGCTGCAGACTTTTATCGACAGCTGCTTTCTCTGCCTCTATACCTGAAGATAAGATGCCCGAAAGGAATTAGAGACAAGAAATACTGGGAACAAACCAATCAAGAACTCATTGCCCAACAAATATGTCACAGAAAATAGAGATGGAATAGACATACAATGAGGAGACTATTGGGTAATATCTTGCGCCAAGCCGTCGAGTGGAACCTGAATGGGAAACGACACGTTGGGCATCCGAGGACGACATGGAGGAGATTGTATGTGGAGGGGAAGGAGGAGGAGATGAGAGCCTACTGGTTAATAGTGGGACTGGCTGAATAGAACTGAAGAGAACCGGACACAATGGAGACGTGTTGTTGAAGCCCTATGTTCCACTCAGAACCCTGGAAAGCTACAAAGTGCTTAAGTGTTTTCATTCCCGTTTATTATGAACATAAATGTACTTAAGCAACACTTTAATAATTTCGGTGGAATGTGGCCATAGAAATATGTGGCCCAAGTGGTCTAGTGGATAACGCTCTGGTGTTTGAAACGATGACCACTGGGTTCAAGCCTCCTCAGTGGGAACGCCATCACTCACTGGGGAATGCAGACGCATCCAGCTGACGAGTTTCGAACAGTAAGACTAAATGTGCGGATTCCTGGATTCCACTGCCAGTTACCATCCATCAAATTACTTCAAGAATACGCTTTGTCTACTCAAGCTTAGAAAATTGAACAAGTATTTTAAAAAATATCGCCTAATGACTGAAAACGGATTATCTAAGCTACTGAATCAAAACTGTCATCTATAAAAATTGTCTGCAAATAGAACAATCACTTACTCATCATTCGGTTTTTCACCCTCTTTAAAGTAGGGATCTTCCATAGCTTCAGCGGCAGACAAACGTTTCACCGGATCCATGGTAAGTAAACGCCGGAGCTGTAAAAAAAAATAAAAGTAGTCAAGGGGGAGATACGTTTTCTCATGAAAATATTACGCCAGTTAACGAATCGTGAAACTTCTGCCTTCAGTAGTCCAGTGCTTCATTAAAAAGTCTGATATGAATTTTTCCATGAGATATTTCTTTACACTGACAATTTAAGACTTCACCGTGGGTGCAAGCTGAAAAGCTGCTATAGCTGTTAATTGGATTAAGACTAACTTCTTTCCAAGTAAAGGACGCTGACAAAATACAGAAGAATCGTTGTAACACCTTTCCTTGAGCAGAAACCCTGGAATATCACTGCCGATGATTCCCAAACTAGGCAGATGAAACAGCTGTCCAGTACTCCCAGCTGGTTTTCAATGGTTCTCTAACTGATATCATTCCGTGGTCAAACTCGTAAAAACAAACTAGGCCTTTAATTGAATTTTGGATTTTCCCGTCGATTGATTGGACCAAAGTGCTCGGTCTCAGGTTGACATGTCGGCTTCTTGAGCAGATGCTTCGACGATGTCTGGGCATTTAATTAGTATTAAATTGGTGGATGGTGACTAGCAGTGGAATCCAGGATGCGCATTTCGTCCTATTTGGGACTCGTCATCTGGATGTACCTGCATTTCTCAGTGAATGATGATGTTCCCACCGAAGCTCGAACCCAGTGACCATGGTTTCAAACGCCAAAGCGTTATCCACTAGACCACTTGGGCCACGAGAGCCACCTCTTGTGCAACGGGTCATATTGATTTAATTGAATTTTGGATTTTCCCGTCGATTGATTGGACTGAAGTGGTCTCGTGGCCCAAGTAGTCTAGTGGATAACGCTTTGGCGTTTGAAACCATGGTCACTGGGTTCGAGCCTCGGTGGGAACATCATCACTCACTGAGAAATGCAAGTACATCCAGTGACGAGTCCCAAATAGGACGAAATGCGCATCCTGGATTCCACTGCTAGTCACCATCCACCAATTAAAAACTAGGCCTTTCTCCACGGAATGGGAGACTAGATCAACTGGAATTAACTAAGCAAAAAGTTACTGGCATAAAGTTGAAAAACTGTGACCTATCGACTCATCTTTAAGAGTATGTTTTGCGCACCATCAACATTCTTCAACATATGATAACAAAGTTTATTGCATCGCAATGACGAATCACTCTCTCACTTCACCGCCATTTTACCCATTTCTACTATTTATTTACTTAATTATTTATTCTATTCCAGTGGCTCAATGGTATAAGAGCTCACCTCATAGCCTAAGAGTCCTGGATTCGAACTCGCAGTATGTTCATGGTATGTATTTCTGAAGAGTCTCAAACAAGGACGAAACAACGGTTCTTTAACTGAAGTCAATTCACGGTCGGAACTGAAACCAACATTTGAAAATGTTTGTTTTTTTATAAATCAACAAGGATAAATTTTTTATGAAATGAACAAGTAGTACTTGGGAATTTTTACTTACCAGCGTTAATTCTCTTTCGTCTACTTTGAACTTTTTCTCTTCAAGATAACCCTCCAATGAATACTTGCCGTATGTTTTCTTGCTGATAGAATCACGCATTAATTGATGATAATCTGGCATTTTTTTCATATCGACCCAAGCATCATCTAAAGAAAGAAGCATGTATAAGTGTGTGTAAGCGTGTGAGTCAGTGAATAAGAAAATTTCATTTCAGAAATTTTATTTAAAAAATTACATGGTCTACACGCATAATTCACAATCGTACGAGATACTAGAAAGATAAGACGAAATCAAAAACAGATCTACAGAAGGGTTATATGAAACGCTGGGAAAGCAATAGATGGCAATTGTTAAATGTAACCTTCTACACGCTGTTATGTACTAATGCACACAAAACTACTAATTTTCAGAGGATAGAAAGTTCTAGTGCGATTGCAGAGCCTCAAATGTTTATTGACTGAGTTTGGCAGGAACTCAAGACTGATCCACTTTACCTTCTAGGTACTTAAAAGAGAAATCATTTTCTATGGTGTGTGTAACCAGAAAGAAGCAGCCATTGGCAGACACAATCCGTTTATTCATCGCCACCTTACATCATTCTGCTCCGCTATACCATCACAACTAGTGTGGTGAGAGCTGGCTGCTAGGCAAAGTTGGTAGACAGTAATTGACGTCAATGTTTATGTCCCCAATATTGGTGGTGAGAAAATGAGAAAAAATAATCGAAGTTCCAGCATTTCGGGCTATGGATGCTTGTTATTTCTGAAACATACAGTCAAAAAAAAACCCAAGTGGACATTACGGTGAATTTAGAAAATCCACCCTACGTGTGCCAGGAAATTCTTCAACTATTTGGTAGGAGCTCCCCCTGGTGTAGGAATCGGACTGGGTACTGGAACAAAAAGCTAACTACTCCACTGGACCCCCAATGGGTAGTCGTGGTGTTCAACTGAATTCGTCCGCAAGAATGGGGACGGGTTGTGATACACGTCGATACTCTCCCATAGCTACCCATTTTCGCACCAACTGACTACAGTTCAGATGAAGTAAAGGATGAGTTTTATCAAAAGCTGTTTAGTTTGCTGTTAAAAGCAAACTACTCTGATATAGTTATCTTAACAGATGATTTCAATACTCCTCAAGTGAAGAAATTGATTCAGTCTGATGTAATTCCATGCCCATGAACTGATATGGTCACTGAAATTTTGCATAACAAGATTAATGGTTTGTAACTACAGGGTTCATCGTCCAAGTGCTGGTGTTGGGTGAAGTAGCATGTTGAGTACTAACGAGTTTCAGCGTAGTGTTAAATATAGAGCACGAGTCAACCAATGAGATTGTGAAGCCACATTGACTGAAATGGCTTGGATACAAGCATGTACCACACATAGACGGAGGTTATGAAAATAACCAACCAATAACAACAACAACAACATCAACATCCAGCGCCAATCAACATCAACGGGAGGGATTTCAAAGAGGTTACTTCATTCACTTATTTAGGGAGCATTGTCTCAACTACAGTAGGAACGGACGAGGATGTCAAATCGAGAATCGGGAAGGCGAGAAACTCATTCATCAACCTGAAACCAATCTGGAAATCTTCGTCACTCAGCATCAACAAAATTCGGATTTTCAATACACACGTCAAGTTAGTCAGTTCTTCTATACGGATCAGAAACTTGGCGGATCACAAAGAATATTTCCAACAGGTTGCATATCTTTATGAACAACTGTCTTCACTCTATACTCAAGATCAGATGGCCGGAAAGAATCACCAACAAGAAACTATGGGAAAAAAACAAAACAAGAACCAATCGCCCAACAAATGTGCAGGAGAAAGTGGAGATGGATTGGACACTCGCTAAGGAGGCCGTTGGGTGACATCACGCGTCAGGCCAGTGCTCGAGTAGAACCCGAAAGAGAAGTGGCGAGTGGGACTTCCAAGGGTGACATAGAGGAGATCATGTGAAGAGGAGTTGAAACAGTATGGAATAACATGGATGCAAGTGAAAAGCACAACAGAAGACAGAAGCAAGTGGAGACGTGCAGTTAAAGCCCTATGTTCCACTAGGAACCCAAGGGAACAATAATAATAATAATCCTGTAAATATACACTATAAAAGATTATCATACCTGGAGGATAACCCATTACACGAAATATTCGTTCTAATTGTTCTTTATGATAAGGTGTACTTGTCTTAATATCCTCTTGACGACAATGAAATATCGGTTCATAGGTCAACAATTCAGCGAATATACAACCGATAGCCCAAATATCAATTGCTTTTGTATAATGTCTTGCACCCAACAATAGTTCAGGTGCACGATACCAAAATGTTACAACAACAGGATCTAGATCAGCTAACGGTTTCAATGGTTGATAAAATAGACGAGCAAAACCCAAATCGGCTATTTTAACACGACCTCTGTCTGGACCTTCACCCATGACAAGAATATTTGCTGGTTTCTAAATTAAGATTTTAAAAAATAAAATATGTTATCCCTATCCAATTAAATATACATATATACATATAGTAATGAGTGTCAGTTAGTATATTTAAAAATAAATTACTATCACTGAAACCAATAGGTAATAATCATTATCAAGGGAATAAATTTAAAAGACGTCACTTCGTATCCTTATCTAGGCAGCATCGCTTCAAGTACCGGCAGGACAGAGGAGGATGTTAAAGGCAGAATCGGAAAGGCGAAACAGACCTTTATTACTGTGAATTCAGTTTGGAAATCTTCTGCACTCCATGGCATAAAGAACGAAATTCGGATTTTCAACACCAACGGTAAGTCCGTCAGTTCTTTTATATGGGGTTAGAAACTTGGCGTGTCACAAAAAGCTTTTCCAGCAGGCCCCATTGAAGACTTTTATCAACATCTGCGCCTTTACTCGATACAGAAGATCAGATGGTCAGAAAGGATTAACAACAAGGAACTCTGAGAACTAACCAGTCAAACATCTATTGCTCAACAAGTATTTTAAAGAAAGGTTGAGATGGATCCGAAACACACTAAGTAGACCGCTGTCTGACATAACGTGTCAGGTCTGGATAAGGGGACAGGTTGGATATGTGTCCGAGGATGATATGGAGGAAATCGTGTGAGGAGGAGATAAAAGCTTATAGACAATTGTGGGGCCAGCTGAAGAGAACTGTAGAAAACAGGATAAAGTGAAGACATGTTGTTAAAGCCCTATGTTCCACTCGGAACCGAAGTAAATAATAATACTACATTATTAAATATATGGTAGAGATACGTAACAATGCATTGCCACATGCAGTCTATCTTCAAGGAGCCTCACCATTATATATGATTACAATAATAACAAGAAAATTAAAGTTTTTAATGATTACAATTAAAAAAACACAAACTAACCAAATCTCGATGTAAAATCCAATTATCGTGTAGATAATGAATACCATTCAGTATTTGATACATTAAACTTTTTACCATATTTCCATAAACTTGAACTGTACTTTTATTTGCTTTAGTTGTTCTATGAAATTTGATAATATGCCAAAGATCATGCTCTGCAAAGTCGAATAACAACCATACTCGTCTAGTTGTATGATTAAGAAAAACACGCTGTAGTGTAATAACATTTGGATGTTTTAATTCACGAAGAAGCTAAATTTTGAAAGGGAATTTATTGCATTATTGCCACCTAACAAATATCTTACAGCAATTTCTCGGCATGCAGACATTGAAAGACCAGTGCCTTCGATTTGTTTGAGAGCATACTCTCTATTATCTGCACCGTCTTTCCGTTTAGCCTTGTAAACACTCCCGTATGTTCCACGACCAACTTTACATCCTTCAAAGTCAAAATGATCTTCTACTTTTTCTCGAATCTCATTCAATTTTCGCTTGAATTCTGCATCTACCATTTTTTCATTATGTGTATATTAAACGGTGGCAGCTTTGTAGACTGCAAAAAGTAAAAGAGAAAATTGTAGTTTTAAAGTTTTACCATGTCTAGTAACTATATGACACTATATGAAACCAAAACAATGTGCATCAGTGGCACAAAAGTAGAAGGCTTGCCAACCACCACCTATTTTGGTCCGACGTTCGACTGATCACCATCCAACTCACGTACAAATCTCGCTTAGCTGGTAATAAGCCCGGTAAAGAAGGGAGGTTGTGTGTGAAACTGGCAACCCCACCCCATGTAAAAATAAGATCACTGCTACGGAAACTTCAAAGCTCAAGCTTAAAGCCCTATATCTCACTCGGAACGCAAAAGAATCAACCGCCACGACTTCTTTTCGTTATTCCTAACATTCCGAGTAGAAAATACGATTTTGGGCTTCAAAGCTTTAATAGCAGTGGTGTAGTTCTTTTACGGAATAGAGTTACCAGCTTTACGCCAAACTTTTCTCCTTTTCCAGTCTTACTATCAGCTAGGAAAACTAGGCAAGACTTACGAGTGAGTCAGCTGAAAATCAAACTCGGACATCCCATGTGACTGGTGAGCACTACACGACTGAACCACAGAAACACTTGATCACTGGAAAATGTTATTAGATGACGGAGATTATCTGAAAAATGTGATGCATTTGAGCAATACATTTCGAACAATCTGATCACAAATATTTACTTGTCAAACTAATTAATGTGAAAATAGAAGACCAATTAAAATAAACAAAGGGGATAAGGGAGTTAAGAATAAGACTAATTAACACCGTCTTTGGTAACTTAATAATCAGATAAGGATTACCAAGGTAGGTTATATTACTAAACGTAGTATTCATTATTTTTATTGTTCTTATTCTTAAATCCATTATCGTTTTTTTTCATATTAATTAGCCTTAAATTTCTCACATAAATTATATAAAACAAGTAAATGTGTGATCGGCTGGTTTGATATGTATTGGGCAAATATAATCAAACTTTCCAAAAACTCACTGTGAAACGTAAGATGATGTCACAAGACTGAACTACATCGACTCCCAGCCATCGGCTTCTTCGGTGAGCAATGTTAGCTGACGTAGAGCTGGGTTAGAAAAGAGCTAGCGGTGGTCGAACCACAACTTGGCATAATACTTATTTTGATCGAAGTAAAGGGTGAGGACTGCCTGGTTGGGTGTCTTCTGGATTCTAAGAACTAATGACTGGAGACGATCGGCGATACGATTCAAAATAGTTTTCAATGGCACAGGTGAATATATTCTTTGTAATCTCCCAGATCTATTAAATTCACACCTGTCCATATGCATTTTTTCTTCCTCCTGTAGATTTTAATCTATCATAGTTCATTGCACCTTTTTGACCACTCCTGTATTCTATATGCAGGACAGCAACTTCAACTGCTATACTTCCGTGCAAAGTTCTACGTTGAAAACTCAGTAAGCTAGTTAGTTAGTTAATCCACAAAACAAATCATAGTCTTTAACACTCGTAGGCGTTAAAGTAATTTAAATTAATCTAATTATACACTAAGCCCACCGATTTCAAACAAATTAGATATGTAGATAAGTATGAATTATTCATTAGAACTTTAAAAAAGCACCCTAAGTGAGAATCATGACACTTCCTATCGCAACAGGTGGCGAATCTTTGATTAGCTCCGAAATACTAATTTTGAAAACTATCCACTCAGTATCAAGAAAAATTCTAATGACCGCTTAAAACTCCCTTGAATAAGGAACTTTGGTCTCAGTAGACGTATCAAATTGGCTAAAAGCCACACTGCTTGACACAGCTCACAGTAAAGTTTTCGACCAATAAGAGCAGTTAAGTGTTGACTGTCTCAGTAAAATCACAAGATTAAGCATACCTATTTGTCATAAAAAGAAAGGATTCGAGGCATTCTTCCTGTTACTTAGCCAAGTAGTATACAAACAGTAAATGTATTCAGCCGCTACGAAAACGCCAACAGTAGTTCAAGTCTTAATTAGTGCAGCTATGACGTATCGACTTAGATAATTAGTTCTTAACTTGTGAATCGTGAGTCTGCAACTTCCGAAGCCTCGGAGTCAGTATTAACAGCCTCCACAGTAATTGAGTATTCATGAAGTATGCCAAAGTTCACATGGCGATTGAGTGATGCTAAACTATTCATATTCGACTTTCAGATGACGTATAGTTTCACCTCGAAATCGTAAATGTATCGAATTTCCAAGTTCTATCAATTCCAAAACGTAGTTCCAGCAATGAGACACAACATACTGTTATTCGCTGACTACGTAATAGTTTTTAATTCTGCCTGACAGCTAAACGTTAGTCTCACACTAGCTCGTGTAAACTTTTAATTAGATGACACCATTAATTTCTTCATCAAGTTTGCGCAGTGGTTAGTCAGAATACTCAACTTTATGAAACGTTCTTGTTTGGTACTCAGTTTTCAAAAGTGACCAACACATAACTCCTTACCGAAATGCTATGCGAAGGATCTGTCCGGATTCGTAGTTAAATCGTCCACTAGGGAAATATGAGAACTAAAAAGTGATGGATGAGAAAAAAGAAGGCATATTTAAGCCTCTCAGATAAAAACAAGATGATATAAATCATCAAAAACCTAAGCTCCACTAGTTAATAGACTTTATAAATGAGAATTTATATATATATATATAATCTTCAATAATCCGTAAGTTTTTTGCTGAGAAAATTCCGCAGTGTGTCTGAATAAAATGCTAGCTGGATAGTTAATTTAGAAATGATAGAGAAGATTTGTAGCTCAGGTGGATAATTTTGATGTGGTTGTGTTCTCTGAGCTGGATAGTTGATTTGCGAAGCTTTCATCACCTTACTAGGTGACATCTTCAGCGCATACTTCAATTTGGATAGTTAATTTAGTGTACAAACATTGAATACGGTGTTGTTTTTTTTTGTTAATGGGCGAATGCCCCGAGATAATCCAACCACATTCATCGTGTATGAGGTGATACTACTGTCACCGAAGCTCAAGTAGTTGAAAAGAGATTTATTATGGCTTCCTGGATTAATGTTTAGAGTTAAGGTTAGCATCGGGGTCTGATTTACGATTAGGGTTAGAGTCAGGACTAGGTCAAAGAACAGTGTCAGAAATATCAATAGATCTCAAAGGTCTATGACTTACAGTCACCTAGATGAATGCATCTACCACACATGGTACGATTTCTTTGTAGATCATATGTGTAGCCATGGGAGAAATTCTTACAACACATTAGCGACAACTATGTATAATATTATGTTTAAAATGTTATTTTAGTACAGTCTTCAACGATAATGACTTTTTGGCATCTGAATTCTGATCGATTGTTCAAGATCACTGTGGTTTTGACGATGATAGCTTAACTCTGCCGTGTAGCTTAAGATGCATATCAACTGCCATACGCACGACCATACTCTCATAAGAAATTTACTACTTATTGCCAAGTAAAATATTCGTGGTAACTGGCAGTGAGGAGAATCAATTTCAAGGGATAAAATAGCTTTGTTCACTGAGTTCAAATAGGTATTTAAATGTAAGTTAACATGTTGTGCTACCATCACCATCAACTTACAGACAAACGCAGCAGCGCACATGTCATATAGCGCGGTATCCAATATCCAATATCCAATATCCTGATTACGAGCTAGTATAAACCAGTGATTTCTTTGAGCTCGCTTCTTGATTTTAAGGTAGAGGTTCCAGATCTTCGGTGAACTTATGCGTAGTAAATCCCGCCACTCGACTGCTTTAGCTCTGGTAGACTCCAGGAGGAGTGATGCGAGGATTGGTCAAGATTGTGGTTTGTAGTGTGCAGTATGTTAGGACTCAGCTGCTGCCGTGAATGGAGTTTGACCTAACACCCGTTGGTCATTCGGTATAGTCATAAAAGTAGAGTAATAATAATAATAATGATAATGATAATAATAGGTTGTAGTGTAGATAATATAGGTTGAGATAAGTGAAATAATAAAGAAAGAAAGAAAAGATAGAGTAGTCGGTACAGTGGGAGAAGACAGGACGGGTCGTGGAGATTTAGCTTGTATGCTTATCCATTGACAATGTGGTTTCAAATTTTAAGAGGGTAAGCCATTGAGACACAAACCATGCATTTCTGCATGATTGTCCAGCTTCCGCTTAAAAATCTCCACAGATGGAGCTGTAGTTACGGCCGCCGGTAAAGCGTTCCAGAGAGGGCAAACTCGAAGCGAGAAGAAATGTGAACGCACTCGAGTCCTTGGTCTCTGGTGTGCTATCCTTAGCGGGTTACCTCGTGGAAGCCTATAATCACTTAATGGCAGGATGCTCTTATCAGGATGGGCCTGGTCATTTAGGATCTTATAGACGGTGATGAGGTCTCCCCTGTGACTACGGTAACTAAGTGTGAAAAGAAAAGACTTAATTTCTTCAGTCTCTCCTCATATGATTTGTTGCGGAGGCCGATCACCCATTTTGTCGCTCGTCTCTGGACACTTTCTAGCATGTTAGCATCCCTTTTGAGTAGCGGAGGAGCAATGATATTATGCACCTCAAGGAGTGGCCTCACGTATGTCGTATACAACGTTAGGAATAGTTCAGGAGTAAGAGCTCCCAGTTGCCTATGCATAAAGTGTAAAGTGCCGTAAGCTTTGGCGACGTCCCTCGTGTAATTTACACTGGTGTCTAGCTTTTCTGTTAAAATAAGGCCTAGATCGCGTTCTGATGGCACACAACTCAAGTTCTGGCCACCAAGCGTGTAATTTGCACTCTGTGACCTGCCGGAATGAAGTTGCACTACTTTGCACTTCTTTAAGTTGAAAGGCATTCCGTTAGCCAGAGCCCAGTCCCCCAGCGTTTGCAGGTCAGCCTGCAATCTGTCGGAGTCTTCCGAAGAGTTTATTGCTCTCCAAATCTTTACGTCGTCAGCGTAAAGAAGCGCAGAGCAATTCAGTTGACAGGGCAGGTCATTGATAAAAATCAAAAACATCAACGGCCCTAAGATAGAACCCTGAGGAACCCCTGATGCCGAGGTGTGCCAGGATGATCGGATGCGGTTGACTTTGGTGCAGAATTCTCTCTCGCCTAAATAATCTTCCAGCCATGCGAGAAGTGCTCCAGAAACACCCGCTTTGCTTATTTTGTGAAGGAGCAGACCATGGTGAACTGTGTCGAATGCTTTCGCAAAGTCGAGAAAGATCACATGGACTGGTACCTTTACATCCCAGGATAGTGTCCAATCGTTCCAAGCTAGTAGAAGATTCGTCACGCAGGATCTTCCCTTCCTGAAACCATGCTGTGCTTCATGGAGTAGGTTAGTCCCGTCGAAGTATTTTCTCATGTGGTCGTCAATGAGACTTTCCAATATCTTCGATATCACTGGGAGTAGCGCAACTGGTCTGTAACTGGTCGCGTTCTGCCGGTCACCACCCTTGAAGATAGGGGATAGGATGGCTCGTTTCCATTCATATGGAAGTTTCCCTACATCAAAGGAGTGTTGAAACAGATCACTTAGGGGTTGGCAGAGACTTTCTGAACACTGCTTCAGGACGGATGGTCTTATGTCGTCGCAGCCTGCAGACTTTCCCGAAGCCAACTTTCCCAATTTTATGAGTACCATAGCCGGGGTAATTTGAAATGTACCCAGCAGGTTTTCGCACGTTGGTCTTGCATTGTAATCTTGATGTTTTGTGAGGGTAAAATCCTCGTTACTGTTCAGTTGCCTGTGAAAGGCTAGACTGAATGTCTCTGCCATTTCAAGACTAGTAAGAGATTTCCCATCAGAACCCACTAGATTGCAAGCTCCCTGGTTGGTCGGTTTTCTTTCAGACATAAACCTGTATAGGCTTTTGGAGTTCACGAGAAGCTTATTGGCGAGGTTTCTCTGAAATGTCTTTCTATCACTCTCAGTCTTCAGTCAGGTTGATTTTCATCTTTTTAGCAGAGAATTGTAAGCTTCGAATTTATCTTAATGCTCCAATGTTATGCATCTATATTTTCGTATCTGCCTTTTGGGATAGCACATACGTCTACTGATAGGCTGCTTCAAAGGACGATTACTCGTACTGACCTTAACACCATAGCCAAATTCGTCCATGGCGCCTGAGCTCTACTGCCACATCCTACTGAGTGGCAGCAGAAACATAAATTACACCAGGTTCACAGGCATTTTTAAAATTTTAAATATCACGATCAAATCTCTTGAGATTGAAAGTTACGCGAGCAACAGTATGATAAAGATAAGAGAACCCTGAGTACCTCTAAATCAACTATTATTGTTGATTTTTTTATTATAACTTGATTCCAAACCGTATTTTTGGTACAAGTATGCAATTTTCAGCATGCAATATTGGTATCCCAAATTTTGTAGGCCGACCATAGATATCAGGTGTGCGTCGGCAGATGATCGAACCCTGGACCATGTGCATGATCGGCGAGAGTCATAACCGCTGTGCCACCGAGGCATTATGCGCTTGTAAAACTACTTTATGTTCTCATACCATACTTTTACAGAAACCAATTTTACGTATGCTTACCAAATATATGCCATTCTATGACTGCAGATTGGTTTCATATGTATATATATACTCACGTATGTTTGTTTCGCGTGCTTCGTGCCACAGTTTTGCTTTCAGCACATTTAGCAAGTCTTCACTTCTGCTTTTTTATACAGTGTTGTTGGTATTCGGCAGTAAATCGTGTTCAATACAGTATATTAATAGGATTTATATATGGTTCGTCATAAACCGTAGTGTTCTGTCTTCCAAGGACTAAGCATGTGGATGTTCCATCGACTCTCTTCAGTGTGAGCAAGTCGACTTTTAGATAATAAAATTTTTTGGATACATTTTACAAGTTTGAGTTATCTCAAATATCAATGAACACTTTTTCGAATATTATTATTCTCTGTAACTCCAATGACATACCTTCATCTTACCTTGTTCTCCGTAGACCTCTTCAGTTGTATCCACGACCTCCTTCACGTCAATTTCAGAAGCCCAACTCACTGTTTCCCATTTCGGTTCCACTCGAGGGCCTGACCCGCCATCACTAAACCGCTTTTTCAGCAAACCTCTAATCAATCCCCATTTCCTCCAACATATTTATTGGTCGGTTAGTCGCCAAAATCCATCCTGACCACCCCGTTGATGAGTTGCACAAGAGAGGTGCTTCTGTACCTCACACTTCAGTGAACTTTTTCGACAGAATGTTTACCAAGTGGGTGGGAAGATCACGATTTAAACAATACCTCGTCAGTACTTCAGTTGACAACAATTCATGCTAAGAAATCTACCTTACAGTGCGCCTAAAGAGTCGACCAGATACTGGGGTTAGTTAGCCTCAGGAGACTCTACAGTATTGCAGCTGACCAGATTTATCTTTTAACATCGATCCACATGATCCAGTTAACGATAAGCAAGCAAAAATTGATGATGCCTAAATACTTAGTGATGAATGAAAGTATCAATTTGATGTAGCTGTCATTCTGTTGCATAAGAGTATTACTTCGAGGCTAGGAAGAAAACCTGTGATCTCAACTCTACAAAATCTTGTCATTTCACCGTCTTTTCCAACACTTTGATTTCCTGCTCTATTTTTCAGTGTTGGAAGATACTCAGAACCATTGTGCATTGCTTGGAGACGAGTTTCGCGGTAGTACTTTATATCTGAGCCCACCAAATCCTATCTCGGCGATTTTAATGAGGGAGCACATTGTTACTGTATTTTTAAATGAAAACACCCGGTCTCCCAGAATGTACATATATCCTCCGTACCGATGGCCTGTTAACCACACACTCAACATAATGCCAAAAAATACAACAATATACCGCCACTTCGGTTTTGTCATATACAGGGCGCCGAAAACTTTGATCGCGACCGATTATTCCACATTACCACTCTGTATTACCCACTAATCTAGGAAACCACACGTCAGAATCGCAGGTTTAAGCTCAACGCAATAGATATAAATATTAATTAACAGTCATTGTTAGGAATATGGGCCAAAAAATGAAATCCATTGCTACGTTTCATTATTTTGGTTATTCCAGGATGGGGATGATGACACTGATAAAAGCCCGAGAATGCTGTGAACTCTGATCTCACTGTCATTTACCGATGACAACATGCATAAAATTAGTAGCATTGTTTCAGAAATTTTCTGGAAACTGCACACACTATGCTAAATTCTAGCTACGCTTGCTCCCTATCCACAATCACACCCATCCAACTTGTTCTGTTATGATGTCTGATTGGAACATGTTGGACGGTTGGTGGAAAAGACAAATAACGAAAGTCATAATATATTGGCAAAATCATTGGAGCCAGTGAATTTGTGTATTTCTCATGAATTCGACGAATCAGACAACACCAGCTGGTTGATAGGAGATGTGTAGGTTTGTATCCGCCAAAAACAAACTGGACATTACTTGTATGCACCTGTTTAAAAAATCATTTAAGTAATAATTTGCATGTGCACCGCCACATACTCGAAACTAAAAGCATTCTTATTTTCTCCTCGTCATATATTCCGTGTTTTCTTCATCCCCTACCGTTAGATTTTAGTTTTTCTCATTTCCAAGTACTTTGCGATTAACAATTGCTATTTAGATTTTACCACAAATCGATCCTGTCTA